CCTACAAGAAGGGAAAAGAAATTAATCATATGATTCAAACATTTAACTGTGTGATTAGATTTCATGGTTTGATCCACTGGTTATACATTAGGACCAGAATTGGCCTCTAAAATGAGATAAGTTTTTCCACATCTCAGTATGTGGATTCAGGAAAAATATGGGCCTCTTAGAGCACTCTGCACTGATTTGTTTCCAGTAGTGGATAAAGGGGTTTCTGCCTGGAGAGTCATCTGTCATTCTGGGGTTTTCTGGAGGAGAAAGAGTACTGTGAGTAAAAGAACAAGTTTTACCCTGAATTATGTTAAGGGAGTCCAGAGTAACTCTTATGGAGCCAATTAATAAAGAATAATTAGCCAATTAGTATAGATGTGACTTGTGGTCAGTTTGTTATATCAGATGCAATTTGAAATGAAATGTCTCCCATGCTTATACTTGCAGGTTTCTGCCTCTGAATGTTATGAAGGTGACATTTAGATGTAGATAGCTCAAATGCAAGGCTCTCTACAAGTACTGTTATTGTTATTATTAATAACCTGTGAGATCATCTTTAAAGCCAGGGTCATTTTAGTGTCTTACGGTGGAGTTATCTGTCATTGCTTTCAGCCCTTTGCTAAATTTCATCTGCTGTTGTGCTGGGAATGTTAGAGAAACTCAGTCTGGTCTGTCAGGGTAGGCACTCTGTTCTGAGTAGGTGACATAAGTAAGTAACTGGGTTTTGCCAGTCAGATTCACAGAAGCAAATCTTTTCCATGGTAGTTTTAACTTGAGTCATTTGATTGCCTAGGTAACTGATGGTACTGAATGTCGACCGTACAGTAATTCAGTCTGCGTCCGGGGAAAATGCATCCGAACTGGTTGCGATGGCATCATCGGTTCAAAGCTCCAGTATGACAAATGCGGGGTGTGTGGAGGAGACAATTCCAGCTGCACAAAAGTCATGGGAACCTTTACCAAAAAGAGGTATTGATCTTGAGTATTAGTAAATATATCTTCTTGTGCAAATAGTAACTCTGCTATGTGCTTGCTTTCTTTCCGTCTCTAAATGCAATTTACTTTCATATGAAGATTGAGCAAAAAAGTACATTGCCTGTGCTTTATTGCACTTTCCAGATGTTTACAGATGGCCTGTTAGCATTACTCCAAACTGGCAAATAATCAACTGGCAAAACACTGCACCCAGTTCATTTCTGACACAAAGTGCCAGTGATAGAGGTAAGCACCCCATTAATAGGAAATCGGCCTAGAATAAGGCATAGCATCTTGTGCTACTTGCTAATCTTGCTGTGTCAGATGGCTTGTGGTTTCTAGAGGAAAGGGAAGAGAAGAGTGAATCAGAAAGTTATTGGAGTCAGAATAATCTGGGTATCTCTGAAACTCTGCATTTCCCAGATGATGCTGTGTTAGCAAGTTACACGCTGAGAACGTGTTTCATCTCATCTAACTACGAATGACAATGAGGAGATCCCACCTGATTTCGTGACACAGATTCCTTGTGTAGTTAGTGGAGAGAAGCAGACAGCATTAGAGCACAGCTGTAAAAGTCTTCCTTGATAGCCGAGAAGGATTATACCCTAGAAATACCTTTTCACACTGCTGAGTGTATGTGGAGCTTAGATGACTAGATGAGATGTCAGAAGTAAACATAGGCTTAAGCATGGCGTTTGCTATATCCCTTCATGTCCATTGGCATAATATCAATCCCCAGATGGATTTTTTTATGTCAAAATATTTATAGCAGTTATCAGTTTTGGGCCCCTCACTACAAGAAGGACATCGAGGTGCTGGAGCGTGTCCAAAGAAGGGCAATGAAGCTGGTGAAGGGTCTAGAGAATAGGTCATACAAGGAACAACTGAGGGAACTGGGGTTGTTTAGTCTGGAGAAGAGGAGGCTGAGGGGAGACCTTATCACTCTCTACAACTACCTGAAAGGAGGTTGTAGTGAGGTGGGGGTCAGTCTCTTCTCCCAAGTAACAAGCGATAGGACGAGAGGAAACAGCCTCAAGTTGCACCAAGGCAGGTTTAGGTTGGATATTAGGAAAAACTTCTTCACCGAAAGGGTAGTCAGGCATTGGAACAGGCTCCCCAGGGAAGTGGTTGAGTCCCCATCCCTGGAGGTATTTCAAAGACATGTAGATGTGGTGCTTAGGGCCATGGTTTAGTGGTGGACTTGGCAGTGCTGGGTTAATGGTTGGACTTGATGATCTTAAAGGTCTTTTCCAACCTAAACGATTCTATGATTCCATACAACATATTTCTGTCAGAGTTCAGCTTTTAACTATAGTAAAACTTAATACAAGTAAAATAAAAGGAACCGCCCCCATGGTTTTCCCTGACCACATTGAGGGCAGCACTAAGCTTTGTACTGAGATACCAATGTCAAGTAAGTCTGCTTTCTGTCTGAACTCTTGTTTCCCTCCCTCTTCAAGTCTTAAGATTCATAGAAAAATGAGGATTTTTAATTATCCTTTACATAGATTCCAAGGACTGCTGTAGTGATCTACTCTTAGAAACTTTCAGTTGACAATTTCTACTCAGTATCTGTGACTGCATTAGTGTACCATCTTTTAAAATGTACATAAACTTGATTTTGGTTTATATCTTCCAAATTCTTCCATAGCATATTGAAAGCTACCAGAAGTTGAAATCTGACTCCTGAAATGACCTTTTATTTCTATACATTTCAACATACTGATTAATAGCAGTCAAAAATGGCTTTGAGAGTGAATTTATTCTGAAAATAAACATAACTAATCTTCTTCCTGGTAAACCAATGATTACTCACCTGCTGATGCCAAAGCACCTCTGCCAAAAAGAATGACTTTCCATCCAAATTAGTAATTATATAAACCAAATCTTTTCCAATTTGTAAATATTGAAATGTCTGGGATGTCTAAATGAAGAAGCCAGTGTGAGATATACTTCATGTGATTCAGTAATGATCCTTGTGCTGGAATCCAGGCTCCAGCAAAATGTTAAAGGGACTCCATGAATTTCAGTGAAGCCAGGTTTGTAGCATAGATATACTTGGAAATGGAGAGATTCTATTACAGTTATTCCTATGAAGTTACCATCTTACTCCTCAAATCATGCCTTTAACTGAAACGAGACTGGTCAGAGAGTAAAATATTAATTCAACCTCAATGCATTCAAAAAGTTGCCCCGTTTAGAAAGTAACAGTCAACCTCTAAGTAACAAGTATGTTCTAACTTTATTTTGATTGAATTTTGGAGTGACGAGGATTTATTTTTTACTGGAAATATTGAGACAATTCCCTTATGCGACTAATTGACTTTAAAATAAACCCCTCATTAAAATAGTGACATCTTAATTGGCTGTAAACTGTTTTTACATATGAAAGGGCAGTGGCTGTAGTAAAATTATCTTTTCGCCACTGAAAAATAGCAGCTCCTGAGTTACTGTCCGTTATGAACCAAACTGTAGCAATCTGTACATTGAATGTACAGGGAAACTATTAAGTGTACAAGGGGAAAGTAGTATTTCCCGTTGCAGAGGATTGCCATAACAACATTTGTTGGTACTTTTTTCTTTTAAAGCAGTCAAAACATAATCTTCTGGAAAACGTGCTTCCTAAGAACTTTTTTTAAAAGGCTGTAAAGCCAAATTGTCAGAAGTAGGGAATTTTGGAAAGGGGAGAATTAAGGCTGCACGTGCTTCTTTGTGCACATGGAGTGTTACAGTTCTTTCTGCAGACGACTTGAATTCTCCAGCATTGCTTTTAGTTTTTGAACAAGTGATTTTGTAACTTTAATAACATGTTTTAACAGAGCTATTTTGGCAACTGTTATGTAAAAATATTTATGCAGTGCTGTAGAGCAGAGTCCCCCCCAGCCCGTTTTTTGCACCATTATTCCTTCAGCTTTATGGAGGTGCTAAATCAATAGAGTTTTAGTCGTTGTCCCATAACTGCTGGAAATAGCAGGGTTTAATCTGTAGTCTGTGCTGTCTCTACTTGTGCAGCCAAAAATTCTCAAAATTAGCAGTCTGTTCTTTAAACAATCCCAAAGGAGACCCCTTCACTTTTACATATATTTAGTATATTTTCTCATTCCTTTTTTTCTAGAAGTTTCAGCACTGAACTTTTCAGATAGGAGATACTTGCAGAATGGTTTTGTCACAGGTTTAGAAATGAAAATACGTGTCTCTGAAGTCCAGCTGGTAGCTTATAGCTATGTATAGTCTTTAGATTTTTTTCCGTATATCAGTGAAGTTAAAATAAATAACATACTTGGAATAGTGATAAATTCCAGCACACTTACAGGTTTTGAATACTTGTCACTTACAGTAGAAGAGTTAAATGTCTTTTTCTAAATCTGAATTAAGATACTTCATAAGTAGCAACAGAGAGAACTCTGTGATGGTACAAATTAAACATTTGGGTGCACCTCATATTAGACACTTGACAATTAATCTTCGGCTTTATGAATTTAAAAGTAAACAAATTTTTTCTCAGTGATCAAGATTATTTTTAAATGTTCCCAAGGTACCTCTACCCAGCTGTTACTCTGCTCATGCTTTCCTTAATCATCATTATAGCAAAGACAGCAAGAAACAGCTGTAACCAATGCATATCTCATTATCTTTTCCTTGGCAGGCAAAGCGTGCATCGTATTTCATATCTCCCACCCTTTGCTGAAATATATAAACTATCTGTTATTTTTCATTCCTCTTGTATCTGACTCACGTAAAATCATTACTAAAGATAAAGATTAAGCAATTTGAAATAACCGCAGTAGAAATTTCTTCAAGAACATAAAGAACAATACAATAGACAAACAGTGGAGCCTGGTTAAATTAATCTTAGATGAGCCTCAAGCTGGATGGATTCAGGGCCTGAACTAAAACGAAACAAGATGTGTCATGCCAGTGACTTCATTAGGCATTGGAGTAAGGCTTGAGGCTTATTTCACGCTAGCTACTGAGTACTCTTTTTTTTTTTTTTTTTTTTTTTTAACTTCATTCAGCAAGGGCTACACAGATGTAGTGAAAATCCCAGAAGGGGCAACCCACATCAAAGTTCGGCAGTTCAAGACTAAGGACCAGAGCAGGTTCACTGCCTACCTGGCCCTGAAAAAGAAAAATGGTGAGTACCTTGTCAATGGAAAATACATGATCTCCACTTCAGAAACAATCATTGACATCAACGGGACTGTCATGAACTACAGCGGCTGGAGTCACAAAGATGATTTCTTGCATGCAATGGGACACTCTGCCACAAAAGAGGTTCTTATTGTGCAGATACTTGCAACTGATCCAACTCAACCAGTGGATGTCCGCTATAGTTTCTTTGTGCCAAAGAAGCAAGGGCAAATGACTAACTCTGTCACCAGCAGTGGCAGCAGCAGCAGCAAAGTAACTCCACAGCTCACGCAACCCCGCTGGGTTACGGGGCCGTGGCTTTCTTGTTCTCGAACATGCGACACAGGATGGCACACCAGGACTGTCCAGTGCAAAGACGGGCATGGAAAATTAGCTAAGGGATGTCTTCTCTCTCAGAGACCGTCAGCATTTAAACAGTGCTTGTTGAAAAAGTGTTAACCTGTGGTTGTGATCTTCTTTAAAAGAGGTTTGATTAAGCCATTGTTGACATACTAGTATGAGGTCTGCCCAGACAGAGAGAAGCAAAGGCTTCAATGTACTTACATACAGTCTCAAATTATGGGCAGAATCTGCCTATTTGGACCAAATGAAGATGTGCACTGCTTTAAATAATAGTAGGGTGATCTTAATTTGTCAAGAAAGTAAGCATTAAAGTTGTTATAAGCCCTCTGTGTCTGCAAAAATATAAAATAAAATAATGCAAAAGAAGAAAAACTAGTGAATGGAGGATCCTGGGATATTTGAAGGTTACAGAATCATCTCCCCTTTTTCACCTACCTCTAATACAGTATGTCCTTAGAAAACGTCACATGTACCCATGATACCACAGTAGCTAATTTTATACTGTTTTGTAAATATCTTTCATTTGGTATGTCACTTTATATCACTTGGTTCTATTAAAAAATCAAAAGACAAACTACATTAGCAAAGTGATTGACCAAAGTATATCTGCAGCCCTTGTGGACTTGGTCCGTTGTTCAGAAGGAGCCGCAGATGTTTTACTGGAAAATGAAGAGCTTGCTGCTGGTTTTAAAAAGCAATACCTTTTGGGTTTGACAAAAGGAAACACATTTTCATGCTAGGAATTTCCTGACAGCAGATCATTATTCTATGACAAGTACTGTGTTTCCACCAAGAAGGAGCACTGCAGCAGCTTGCAGACCAGGGATCCCCCCATGTACATTGCTCAAATACCAGCACCATCAGCAACTCGTCACCCTGTGTACGTCAGATGCACACAGGAGGAGGATTTGGCTGCTAGGAGGTATTCGTGTACACTTTGCTTGTAAACTTTCCTCTAGTTCCAGCTGTGTCACAGCTTGAGGTCCTTGTTGTCAATGAACAATAGCTGCTAGCGTCTTCTTTCTATAAAACAAAGGCATACTGTATTTTGTAGAAACTAGTTAGAGAACCAAAAATTACAGGTAAGATAATCAAGTGTCTTCTGACTCAGATATTCTGAGGCTGTGTTCAACTGCTTTCTCTGTTATTTTCTCTATGGCTTCCACCTTGAATCTAACAATGTGTAATGTACCTACATCTTTTGAAGAGGCTATAAAGGTCAAAAAAACACAGCAAGCAGTTAATATTTTATCACTGTTTTGTCCATCATGTCTAACTAACTCTGGTATTCATCTTACCAGCAAAAGTTTGTAACTATTTGTCTTTTTTGATTGTTTTGTGTGTGTTTTGGGGTTTTTTTAAAGCTATAGAAGGCATTCATGTTTGTGTATCTACCACATTGGGGAGGAAGAGGGGTCACTAGGAAGTCAGACCACATCAGGATGTGGAGGACTTGCCCAATATCAATAAGACTGTTTCCACAGTACAGGCAGTAGCTGGTCATCGTTTTCATTGGCAGCAACTTCTGAATCCTTTTATTGTCTGGTAGAAGTTCTGTGAGTGAGGATGGGCTTTTCACCTTATGCAGGTAACAGGTGGAGGCCTGATAGCAACCCTGTTAAAATTGCTTCCTTTTATATCAGCAGGAAAGAAGTGGTTATAATACAGTGATGAAAACAGAATCCCATCTGTCTTTTATTCCTTCGTTCATGCACACAGGAGAGTGTGAGACTGCAGGAGGATTTTCAGACAAGCCTCGCAGCTGTAAGTCAGTGGTACGCGAGCACTGAAGTACCCCAGGCTCTTCTGAAAATCCCAATCATGAAATCAGTAGAGAAGACTTGTTGGCGTGTGTAGCAAGGGCAGGTCTCACTCCAGGCTGACACAAACATGTTTTTGCAACTGTGGCATGTTTGTATGAACTCTAAGAAAGCATGTGGTGATTTCAAAACAGCATAGAATTGCTACATCTACAAGGATGAAACCTGGAGAAGTATCTATTTTTGTAGCCTGTTCTAAATAAACAGTAATAGGGGCAGGGCCTCCTCCTCTGTCAAAATGAATTACCAAGGGATGTTACTAATCAGCTTTCAAGAATGATGTGGCCTCCTTATTAGCAGTAGTCCTACGCAAAATTGTGGATCTTGAGGAAAATTCCCCACTTAATCTGTGATCCCACCCTAAGAACTGAGATCAAGGCTCTGAATATTTGCAGAGTTCTGGAAAGTTAAGATTTATGCCTTCTCTAGCTATTAACATAAGAGCACTTATTTTCCTTTCAAGTAATCTAATTTTTATACTTATGTATGTATTACACATGTTCTAGAACCTCTCAAAGAAGTTCATAACAAATAGAAACCATCAGGAGAGAAAAAATAAGACTGAATGCGTCTCAGCGTAGACTTAACATTTGTCTCTGCATACAGCTGCTGGATTAAGTAGCATTTGTTTTTCCTGTGTTTTATCATAACGGAGACAGAATGTGCAAGTATTTGTGTTTGCATCATAGTAATAATTTATTATATATTCAACAGGATTAGTAAAGCTTTTGGATGCTATTCAGGCTCCAGAAGAGTAATACCATACGCGGGTATAAATTTAAAGCTTCCTTAGATCAAGAGTATCTTTTTTCATAGAAAAAGTTTATTTATAAAAAATAAATAAATATGAGAACAAACCACTGCAGCGATTTTTCCGTTTTCACCAGTGTAGTAATGAAGCAAATTGGCGTGAGCCAAAAGCAGTTGCCTTTACATGGTGAGAGGGCAAAGGGGACAGCCCATGGAGGCAGCCCTGAAAGTGCAGGGTAAACTAGGTCAGCCTGCTCTAGTTAACACATGCTCTTTAGCTGTTCTTTGTAATCAGACTCCAATTCCAACCCTTGCTTTTGTCAGTCATAGCTATCTCCTGTAAGTGGTGAATGAAGCTATGTGACTTTGTCATTTCAACTTCTGTTCTCAAGCAAATTCCTTGTCACTCACACTGTTGCGTCATTGTTTACATTACAACCGAGCGTTGCCAAACAGGATTTATAAAATCCATCTAGGGGATAGAAATCCAGAGTATTGCTCTTTGCATAGAAAGAAACAATCGTCAGTGTTAAATTCACTGCTGACTTTTTGGGACGCATCTCCAGTGGCCTTAAGTGGAGTCGGACCCCTAAGCATTGGTGGTTTTTAGAGCATCTGCTTTTCAAAGAAGACATTCTCCTTAGGGAAAAGCCTATTATCTTTGGTTTGGCTGTATACAAGAAATATTTAGCTGCCCTCCTGTGGAAACAGTTTTATCACACGGGGGGAGAGGGAATAATCTTGTGGATTAATCACAATTGTAAAAAAAAAAAAAAAAAAAAAAAAAACAACACCTGAAAAAAAAAAAAAAAATTTTTTTTTTTTTTTTTTTTTTTTCCCCAATGTTCACAAAAATTTTTTACCCCGGGGGGGGGGGGGAAAAATTTTTGGGATTAAAACCAATTTTAAAAAAAAAAAAAAAAAAAAAAAAGCAACACAGCACTGAAAAAAAATAAAATAATTTATTGTTTTTACAACTGGTATGTGAACGGATGTAATGAATTTATTTATTCTTATTTAACAAAAATACCAATTGTGCAAATTCTATATTTAAAATGTTTTGCTGTCGTCTCTGTCTTTCTCTTTCTTGCTCTCTTTTAATTTATGCTTCAAATTTATGTTGAAAGTATGCCTTGTGAGTTTACATAATGTATGGCACTGGTTATTTTTTGTATGTTTTTATTTAGAAAGCTTTCTGCATGAAACAGGAGTATATGTGTATACATGTGAGCACAATGTATAGATGTATATTCTTTTTCTGCTACCATCTTTTTCTTAGAGAAGTTGTAGATTTTTAATTTTGTGACACCTCATGCTCAAAGCTCCTTGTTACACTTCGAAAATCTCTCAACTAGCAAGTCATAAAGGTCTGCGGACCAAAAAAAAAACCCATGCTAGCTCCTAAAGAAGTCAGGCAACAGGCTCGCTTCGCCCAGGTGCGTGCAGTTCATGCTGCACGCCTCAGTGATTTACCACCGAAGCTGGTGGGAGCCTTACCCTTTGCTTCAATGGGAGCAAGCTCAGGCTTGTAGTAAATGGGAGTCCTCTATATGTGAATGACGTTTCTCTGAGTTGTTAGAGTGGCAAGTGAGTCTTCTCTCATGCAGCTTCTTATGTTTAAGTGAAAACACTACAGAGAAATTCTTGTGTGCCTCTTTAAAAATATAGCTGAAACAATGTATGATTCGGTTTATGAAGACTGAACCATTAAAAAAGCTACTTTTTCAGTCTTTCCACTGCTTACATACATATATAAATATGTATATATGACTATAAAAAGTCAAAAGCCCAATTTGGAAGGCTCTGCAGTGTTTTACTTCATTGTATTCTAGCTCTTTGCACCACATCAGGCAAAGTTAGACGCAAAAAAGCCAGCAAAGCATGCGTTCCCAGTGTTTCCTTAAAAATAACAGTATCTGCTTGCTTCCACTTTTCATCCAGTCCAACGACTGCTGAACTCAAGAGAGCTTGTATTGGGTCCAGTGTAAGGAAAAAAAATGCAATATAGACAAACCTACAGCTTTTCTACAGTTTCTTTAACAATACAAATGACTTCCATAGTCACTTCACCATAAGGGCAGTTATACAGACTGCAAATAATCTGTTTCAAACTGTTGAAAGTCATCTTGCTTATCAGTGCCCACATTCACATAAGTTAAATGCCAGCTCAGCCTCTCTGCCCACTGTCTGCTGCCGTCCAGCCGCTACCAAAGACCCAGAGCCCTCCACGAGGCTTTAGATGAACTTGTGATGGCCAGCGGGTGATGCTTCCTCACTTAATACCCACTCCAAAATGCCAGGGAATGACTATAAGCCTTGACTTTGACAATCTTTAGGGCAGCCTTTAAACAGAATTTGTAAGGATGGAACATGAATAACTGTGGGTTTTTAGCGATATGTTTAGGTGAGTGTTTCTCCTCGTGCTAATCAATGCCGTGCTGTTCTTTGTCGCTGAGGAAGATGGAGCCTATGGCAAGAGCCAAAATCAGATTCTCTGAGCACGTGCTGCAATTTTCAGAAAAAAAT